TGGTTAACAAAAATAGCTGCTGTCAACACACTGAGTGACAGATCGCGCTCAAATTCCCACGTGGTACTCGGTACAGTGCTACCAACTTACAGAAAAAAAATTGTGGCGATATCTTTTACGAGCATCTTTCAAATCATAAATTCCGGGTACTTTTTACACAGAATGTACATGAGCGACTAGACACAATGGAATGCAAAGGAGTCTGAATTGTAGTAAACGTCGAATGTATTGTTTATTAAAATTACGCTACACCTTTTTTTGTTATGTTTGCAGGCAAATAATGTTCAAATACTCGATTCAGCAGAATCGTATACAGACAATGACATATAGCCAGGACGGCAGTTACATTCAGAATACAGCGACAGATGAATATGAATCTGACATACTGCCTGATCGACTATGGTATCAGATGTCGTGCATCTGACGTCAGTTTGCTCATAGGGCATTTTTAAAAAGCCACCATAATCCATTTGAAACAAAAGGGATTTTAAAGACATAAGGTCACAGAATATAAACATATATTTTTAAAATTTTTTCAGACTTGAACCAGGGGCAAATTTACAAAACAAAAATATGTTTAATACTGCATTGTAAAAACAACTTTATGTATAAAACAAAAAATTAGTTAAAAAGAGGAACATTTACGATTAAAATGAAACAATATGAAATTCGTATCTAATAATTGCGAAGATAAAAATTCTTTTGTGGAGGTATTTTCGTAAAGATCGGTGAAAATTGTCAAATTTCCACCCCCCATGTTGGTAATGGAACTAAGGTGAAAGAAAGACATTTATTCCATGTTTTAACTTAATAAGACTAATAATTATGCACTTATATTCAGGTTGAACGTGTATTGTCTGGGAACATTCAGGGTGATCCTCTCGTTGCTAAGGTGGAAAGGCAAGCCTCCTGTTTTGTCGTTTAAGTGCCGTGTCTGTAAACATGTCATTGATAGCTTGCTCCTGCTGGGTGGCCTCTGTGTTTGACAGGGACAGGCGAGTGCTGTTCTCGCTCTGTCACTGTCACACACGTGGTACGCTCGGCAGGGGTAGCTAGCGGCTCAAACATGTCATTCACTGTCAAATTTGGCAAGAAAGATAAATTGATTAACATTTTGAAACTAAGAAATGAAGTTCTGTTTACTTTATCTTGATGTTATTTGAGTAATAATGTATTTGCCAAATAAATTATTGAAATATTTATTTTATTTGAAATTTAAATGTTTGTTATTTAATTTGATTGACAGTTGTAGCGTGACTAGGATAGTGCGTAACATTTTAAGCATGGTTAATTTTGTTAACAAGTGTGATGGTATGTGTAGTGATAACGCTGACAAAAAATCATTCATATGTTTATTATATATGAAAAACTGTTATGTGTTATTTTAATTGTATGTTAATTTGTATGTTAACTGTTATTTGTTATGTAACGAAATATCTTTTATACGATGTTCGTGTGGTGCAATATAAATTTGTTTCCACTGCTTTTTTGATAAATATTACTCAGTCGTATGTAATAATACAGAATAAAAGTATACTGTTTATATTTGAAAACATATATGCGTTCGTAGACACTGTTAAACTGCTATATTAACAATAGAAAAATAAAATAATTTACTCAAATTTACATAATTACACATAAACGTGTTCATAATAGCGATATTAAACGCGATTACTTTTTTGTACGTGAAAGAAAAACAAATAGGTACTCCGAGGTTTGAAGTCAAGACCCTTTTCTAATACGTCTACTTTACTTATACAGCGAACGGACAGAAGAGAATCCGTTCGACTATGGTCCCTTTGCTGATTTCTGATTCTATCGAACACTCATGATCTGACAACACTGCGTACTTTAGACTTGACAACACTGTCCAAATGTGGCTAACTCAGCTCGAGTCAAGTTCAACGTAGTTCTCAAATTCACCGTTCTCAAAACGTAGGGGTCAGTAAAATCACAGGCCTTTTCTGTGTCAGTACTTCAGTTTTAGGTGAGCCACCACCAACTCCCGTAAGCCTTACGGCGTAAGGTGAAACGTCTACTTTTATAACCACGTCTATGATTGAATGAAATGTCTACTCTTATACCTTGTCTGTGGTAATATTAAAGTGCGATACAATACTATGATATTATCTCTTTGTTACTTTGAATACATTTATTATATAAATTTTACACTTATTTACAAACACGCAAAAATATAATTTTAAACAGCAACTTTCTGTAATGTATCTGCATATTGAAACTCAGAACTGTTCGTATACTCGCACATGTCTAATGCAATTATACAGCTTTCACGTACAACCCTTTTATTGTCATCCAAATATTTCTTTAAAATATTAAAACACTCAGGAGTTGCAATGGAACCTAATGCCTCTGCACATTCATGCCGTACCATTTCATTTTCCTTCTCATTTTCTAGAGAAGATTGCAAATATGGTACTGTAATTTCCTCCTGAATCTGTCCAAGTACAAAGGCTACCTCATGTCTGAATAAAGCACTACCAGCTTTTAAACCTATTAAATAAAAGTAATAAAATCGGTAAAAGTTGCAGTTAAGTGATGGAGCTTCGATGACCTTGACCTTGACACATGTTAAGAACACTCTTCTGAGTAACCCCTAAGAAGTTTTATCCGTCGTCCGTTTTTTATTAAAAAATTATTAGCAAAAAGAGTTTCGTATCGTTCATTAGTAGTAGTGATAAGTAAAGTGACCGATGACCTCGACTTTGACGTATGTTAAGGTTACCCTCCTGAGTGACCTTCAGAAAGTTTCAATCATCAAATGTTGTTTATTAAAAAAGTTATTAAGAGAACAATGACACCTTTTTCTTGAACTATCTCTAACCAACTCTGAATGACTATTTTTTCTTTACCTGTTTCTGACCAACTCTGACTGACTTTTTTTTTTAAATTGTATCTAACCAACGCTCAAGCTTTACACTGATCGGAGTTGCTTATAGTAACTGGTACATGCGCAGATTTTTTTTCATAACTTTTTAATAAAAAATTGACGATGGCTAAAACTTCTTGGGGATACTCAGAAGAGTGTCCTGAACAACATATATCAAGGCAAGGTCATCAGAGCTGCATCCCTTAAACATAATTTTTACCATAAAATTATTCAATATAATAAACGTATCTCACATAATCAACAAAGATACAAATGATCAATACCTTCACAAAGTGCAAGAATACTTTCTGGTGTATGTATATTTCTTAAAGAAAACATTGCTCTATATCGTTCAAATAAAGGAATGTCTTCATTTAACAGAATATCCTTCAACTTCTTCACGTCCCGAATTTCTGTTGGTGGAGCTGGATCTACTGACATATATGGACTGTTTTGTGAAGTTGTTAAAGGGTCATTTGATTTTAACCACTGCAATCGACGTAATGCTAACTGACAAGTTTCTGCCACTTCTGGTACATTGTCTTCGCTATATCTTTTTAAAACTGGTATTACATTAACATCTCCAATTGCACCTAATGCTTCACCTAAAATAATTAAGTGAAAAAATTTCAAAATACAATAGCCTAAATATATAAGCTTACAAAAAAAAGTTAAACTAAATAATATACCAGCTTCGTGACGAACCATTGGTTCTTGAGTGACATCTTCTAATACCTTTACAAGAATAGATACAGCAGAAGAATCTTGCATTTGACCAAGACAATATGCAAGTTCATGTTTTAATAGAGCAGAATCATCTTTGAAGCACATGTGAATCAGTTCAATGGCTTTAGCGCCTCCAATATTTTTTAAAGTAAATAATGCACGAAATCTTTCTTTTAGTGGTCGACTATTGTCGTTTAAAACACTACCAATCGCATGAATTTCATTATCATTTATCTCTAACATAATTTTTTTTTTGAAACACTTCAACTGAACTTCGAGAGAACAATTAATAATTAATAATTTATGGAGTTTCGATAAGTTATAAAATTCATATAACAGTTACAATAATTATATCACTTGAGGACATACTAAAACACCATGTTATTACATATATGCAATTAATATTAAGTGATATTAAGTATGCGTAGAGGTTAACCGACCAAAGGGTAGGGATACAATAAGAGACAACACTCCAAGCGGCACCTTTGATTTTACTCGATGCAATGAGACAAGAAGAATGTGATTACTTTTTTATTGAAAAAATTGAAAATATTCAAACAATAATAAGTGTTATATTTTATCACGTTAGTGAATATAATAATTTAACCAGACGGATTTTCGACTTATAAAGAAAAAACCATTGTTGTTTTTATTATTCTTTATTAATAAACTTTTATTTATCATTTGTCCATTAATAAACAAAAATCTATGCAATCATTCTTATTAACAAAGATAATAAACTTTTTACTAGAGCTTTACAGTGTATTAATTTATTTATCTAAAATTTATTATCTATGTATAAAGAATCATCATCTTGGAGGTCTTTCAACATTAATCTTTCAATTTCGTAAGGGTTGAATTTCAAAAAATTCTTTCTTAGTGGATTGCCTACGTCCTAAGGGGAAAGACATCCCTAAAATTTCATGTTTGTGAAGGAAATGAGATTTTATTGGAAGTTCATGCTTTTCAAACATACCTGTACTATGAAGAGATAACAGAATCGGAAAGTATTTAATTCCTAAATGTTGACACTTCAATTAAAAAAGATATTACATCATTATTTAAACATTTGTTTACTACTAATAATACATATTATATCTAATTTTACTTAAGAGTGTAACTTGTTATGGTAATTTTAGAAGTGCGTTGAATAAAGTATTAAACATCTATTCCTTATCTTAAAGAAATGTTTATCTGCTTCAAGCGATGATAAATATAATACATTACAGTTGTACATATATCTATTTCTTTCTTCAGAAATGCGACCAAAATGGTACAATATAAAAGATATCCCATTTAAACAAATGTGGCCGGACGATGAATATTGGTTTCCTTACATGCTACGAGGGGAACTATTCAGAAGGTACTTTTTGTACAGAGGTCAAGACCTATTTCTTAAACATAACATTGAGACTATGGAAGAACTACCAGTTACTATTGTATGCCTAAATTGACGTTTGTTAACACATTTTTTAAAAACTTCTATCATACATACACTTATTTATATAATAATGTACTTTACGATAATGCACTTTCATACTTTAATTATTATAACAAAATTTGGCTGGGAAAAAAGGAAGAAGATGGAAAGGATGCAGAAGGGGTTTTTAAGATGGATGGTGGGAGTAGACTGGAGGACACCAGGGTACATAACAAGAGAAATAAGATAGGTGCCAAGGAAACGAAAAGGGCATGGTTTTTCGACGAGGTTAAAAAAGGGAAAGAAGGGAAAAGAGGAAAGTGAGCAAGGATCTGCTGAGGAAGTAAGGAGAAGAGCAGAGACAGGAGAAAATCTATTGAAATGGGAAGCTGGCAGAAAGTACTTTGAAGAAAGGGGGTGGGATTTGAAAGAACAGAAAGGAGAGATGGAAAGTTGGACTGGAGAGAAGTGGACAGAAAAGACATAGAAAAGATTAGAACAGCAAAATGTAATAGATGGTGCAAAGAAATTAGAGTGGACGGAATACGCAAGTACCTAAGGAAAAGATGGGAAAAAAAGAGATAGAGGGTGGAAAATGAAATGAGAGAAGCGAGGTACTGGGAAGAAAAAGATGAAAGGGTGTGTAGGATATGTGGTGGAGAATAAGAAACATAGGAGCACGTGTTAAAAAGGTGCGGAGGAATGAAAGAGGGGTATAAAGAAATACAAGAGAAAATAAGAGATATTGGAAGAGGTGGATAAAAGAGATGGAAGAAAAAAGACAGGAGAAGAAAGAATGCAATAGGGAGAGTGACGAGGCGTGGGAAGTATGTATGAGTGGAGAAGCAAGAAAGAATTTAGTTAAAAATAGGTTAAGTAGATAATATGATAACGATAAGATAGGATAAGAAACAGACAGATTGAAGAAGGAAGAATGGAAGGAGTGAAGTGAAAGATGGGTGTGAAGGAAGCAGGAAAGGTTAGGAGAGTAAACATAAAAACTAATTTGTAAACGGAAGCCATTGTAACCCTATGGGGACCGATTAAATAAATACTGTACATACATATATATTATAATAAAATTTAGCTTGTTACTAATGCAATAACTTTTTTCATAGTAATGCCATTTTGTAACCATCACAATATTTTGTTCTTTTACTAATCTTGTACAAATATGTTACATACAAACTTCCTATACTATTCGTACTTATAATTCGATATTACATAAAAGCACACATATTAAATGATCTAAAATGTACAAAAAGTTTAACAATAATATTTTAAAAATCATTAAATAAATATTTCAAATATATTACAAGATCAACCATTTCTTGCTCAAATCAAATGAAATCATCTTTTCTTTGGAAACCAAAGCACTTATAAGAAAATGTAATAGTAAATTTAGAAAATTACAATATTCTATTACAACACAAAAAGATAAAAATATTTTGCTTAAGTTATATTTGTTAAGCAGATAAGAATTTTACAGGAAGTACTAAAGAATACAAAGATTTAGCTTTTTAGTGCAAGAAATTTTATAACACCCAAGACATAAAGCTTAAGTTATACATATCTAAAGTATATCATGGACGTATAGCAGGACTGACGAACTTCTTTTCTGTTGGGAGCCGTATAGCCCCCACCATCAGTCAGACCGTTCTCCCAATATCAGTTAATATACTACGTGTGGCTCACAAGCCGCCAGTTCGTCACAAAAATAAGATGAAGACAGCAGGGTCAAATAGGAATGGAGGGATTCGTTCTCCTCTAGATTCTGCGAAATAGACAAGTAGGAGAAAGTGCCCCATGCGACCCATAGGTCGCTAGTTCGTCAGCCCTGACATATAGAATTGTCAACCAGTTATATCACCCTTATTCTTTGAAACAGTTACAGTTATGCAGCTGACCAATGTTCAGATTTCCATAATAGCGCATACATACTATGTTTCAGATCTTCTGCATCTAATCCATCAATTGGAAAATCTGTATATCTTGAAATTAAACTTCTGTAACCTTGACCAACTGTTGCTAATACCAACTTCTTTTCATCAGCTGATTTAAATGATATTATTTGACATACTTTACCTTCAAAAGGTCTGAAAACTGTAATTGGTCGAAGAGAATTACATTCAGCTACTACAATACACCCCCAAGTTGTACCAATATATAATTGGTTTCTACAAGTTTCAAAAGCTGTTACTTGGCACTTTTCTGTAGATAAATTCTCTTCTATAGAAATGGATTTCAGACTTTCAGAACAAGGTACTAATTTAGACATATCTAACTTATTTATTATTTGCCTAGTATCCACATCCCATTGATAAACAATACATCCAGGGTATGTATACGATAGAATGGAATTTTCAGCACTTAACAAGTATGTAGCAAATAAGTTTTTAATAGCTGCATCTCCAGTAACATGAAAAACTTGTAATGTGTCCATTAAATTGTTGTCTTTTAATACATAGATTGTTATTCTACCAAAACTTTGCCCAACCCATAATTCCAGTATACGTTTCCTTTTACAAATAGCTGCCAAGGAATATGATTTTATATTGTCTTGTGTATCAGTGATAATGTCCATTTTTTTCATTTGAGTAAAAGAATTTGTTAATAAAAATATTCTCCCACTATGTAATGCTACTACAAACTGTTTTATCTGTTCTAAATAAATCAAACCTATCACCTTAGATTCTCTGCTGTGATCAGGTTCCAGGTTATAACTAGCAACACAGCCAAAATTACTACCTAAATAAACATGTACCTGACCTGCATTATCGCCAATCCAAATATATCCATCTACTCCACACATTGCATATGCTATTATAGGAGTTTCAATTCTAACATGTTGTAACCAACCTTTCTGAGTTCCCAATAACATATCTACTTCACCATTGTTATGCCCAAACCAAATTTCATCACCATTCATATTTTCTTCGATTGTTCTACTCGTCATGGTAATAGCTGTTACTTGAGTTCTCTCTGTTAACATCATAACGTCGACCAGGTGTGTAAATTCAGGCGCAGATGCAATGGAAACTATTTGGCTAGCAGTTGGCCGATCTTTTGGATTTTGAGCCCAACATATAACCATTAAATCAAGAGCATAGCAGGGATGAAATGTCTCCCTATATGTTAACGGTGGTCTTCCACCTTCTAAAATACACTCTTTGACTGCTTCATGGCCCTCAAATGGCTGCCTTAGAGTAATCAATTCATATATAAACATTCCAAATGAAAAAGAATCAACTTTCTCAGTATATTCTTCCTCGCCATTATACTTGATAATTTCAGGCGCCATAAATCCTTCAGTTCCACCAAATCCTTTAGCACCAGTTGGTAATGTCAATCTAGATATACCATAATCGGCTACTTTAACGTGGACAGGATGTTCAAGATGATCTTGAAAAGGTAGAGGCATTTGCCAAACTAACACATTCTCTGATTTTAAATCTCTATAAATAACATGTTGTTGGTGAAGATATTCAACAGCTTTTGCCACTTGAAGAATTATAGCTTGTAATGTGTATGGATCCAATCTAGCACCTGAACGTCTGTAGTTTCTCAAAACATTATCTAATGCACCTTCTGGTGCTAAATCTAATACCAATGCAAGAGGACTAACCACTATTCCAATTAATGGCACAATGTTCGTATGTCTGAGCGTTAATAAAATATTTAGTTCTTGTCTAGCAGTACAGTAAGCTTTACAAGCATATTGTAAAGAATCTCGATCCCATTTACTTTGTGCAGCTTTATAAGCTAGAATTGCAGACTGTTTCGAATTTGGACCTGGTGGAACGGGCTGTAACATTTTAATAGCAACATCAGCTCTTTGATAAGTCACAGGCAAGCGACAAATTCCTTTAAAAACAAATCCAAATGCCCCTCGACCTAAAAGTTTTCCTAGTTTAACATCTTCTGATTTTATTAAATGGTTCAATCCCAAATCCATAAAAATAATATCTGGAGCTATGTGTGATAATGGTATTTCAGAATGCTTGGGACAACTAATTGGTTTATTGCTATAGGCAGATAGAATACATTCTTCTACCATCCAAGAATATGCTAAAATACCTTCAAAATTGGCGTTTTGTTTAGTAATATCTGGATGGCCTTCTAAGGATGGTATTCTGCTTGATGTTAAACTATCGTAGCCTACTCCGCTGTCACCATCAGATTTGTAACTATCCTGACTCTGTCTTTCTTTATTTACATAATATCTTTGAATGTCCTCTGCTAACCGTTCATTATTATCACTAATATCATGTTCATTTTCTCCATTATTCAATAGACATCTTGGGCAGGGTATTAGTCGGGTCACTAATAATTTACCCTCTGATGTATGCACAAACCGTGTTCCCAACGTAGGATACCAATCTTCTAATAAAATGTCAATATGGTCAACTATTAGAGCCAATAACTGTGGTACACTTTCTGGACGAGGTTCAACTATAATTACTTGGTATCCCATTGGTTCTTCATCTGCTGAATCAGACATTATCGGCTGCTTAATTACTAATGTGTCAACTGGAAACCAAATTTCTAGAATTGCTGAATTTTTTAAATCTACCGTGCACCATATACCATCTTGTTTCAATTTGAATTTAAATTGCCTGTAATCGTACGGTACGTTCTTTAAATTGTAGTTTACTTCTTTGAGGCGCAGCAAAGTAATATTAGCGTATCTTAGTTCTATACCCGTCTGCCAAAGTACCCATTCTGCTTGCGTGTCTAAGAAACTTACAAAAATTTTATCATCGACAAAATTTTTAAACGGGGCTAAAAAGGACATTACAATTTCAACAATAGTATCATCGGCTAGTATTCTAGTTATAAGCCTTGACCAGAATCCACTTGGAAAGTAAGACATCAGAAGAAGCCGGGTAACTGAGCAATCTGGTTGTGATCTAGATGTTAGCACGCATTCAGTAGGTGGTTTATCTCCAGAGGAATTTTGAAATCCAATCATAGGAGAGGTAATTTTTTTAGAACGTACATGCCAACCCCTTGACTTTACTGGTATTTTGATTACTTGATTATTTCTTAAAGTGTCTTCTTCAGTTGGTAGCAAAGAAGGAATTAGTAAAGTGCGATAATCCCATGTTAATGCAACTTCAAATTTATTTAACAAGCTAACGATGTATCCTTGCGTGTCTATAGATGATATTGTTGAAGATTTAAAAACGTGCTGTATATCGTCTAGTTTCATTATGCCAGATCTAGCAAACGGATTAATTTCACGTATTGTGACTACGTGTGCTAACATGTCGCAAAGCCATTGCGGATCAAGGAAGTATAGATCTTTCAGAGTAGCATCGTCATAGTGCAAAATAATGCCATTTTCGTGAAGAAAAAGTGTTGCCTGATGTAGTTCTGCAAGATCCCTAAATGATCTATGCAGTTTATGCAATTCATTATTTACTGATGCGTAGTATTCATCCGCTTTTAAAACTGGATCTGCGCCTGATAATTTTCTATCATGCGCAAGCTGTATCACAACATCTTCCAAGGCAAGATAACTGGAAGGAATTTTCTGTTCGAGTAATAATTCTTTGCTACCAGGTGATCTCAAGCTGAAAACAACATCATAAATCAAATTACACAACATTTTTATGTTGTGCCTTGTTTTGCAGCTGACTTCTATAGTTTCCATAACTTTGGGCAAACCACACTTTTCAGCATCGACAACATTTATAAACTTATCACGAATGTATTGTTGCAATGTCTCAGTATGTTCATTTGATATATCATAATGAGTGCCAACAATAATTACTGGTGAATTAGGCGCTCTGCTTTGAATATTTACCAGCCATTGAAATATTTCAGAGACACCTCTAAATCCATCTGTGATTTTCCATACAACTAAATATAAGCTACGTTTAGACAAGAAATATTGATGGGTCGCATAATATTCTCGTTGTCCACCAAAGTCCCAGGTTCTGAAATAAACTGTTCCATGAGATGACTGACCTCTCATTTTCTTCTCATAAATCCAATCTCCAATATCAACACCAACAGTAGATATTGTTGTTCCTCTAGCAGTCTTTGCATTGATATTTTTATTACCCATCCGTTTTGCCCAATGCTCAGATGCTTTCTTCTTATTTGGAACTTCACCTTCTTGTCGCAATTGTTCCAATAAACTTGTTTTACCAATGCCTTGTATTCCTACAATCATCAACTTCATACGAGCATATGGTTTAGCATCTTCCAAGATTGACTTCAAGTAGCCAATAACGTCCATAGTTTTATACTTTTTCGAGTCAATCATTGTTTTTAAAGGCTCTTGTAACCTGCAGCCCTGAGTATTTAAGTTCCATAAGCGAGATAATAATCCCATTTGTGGTGGTAGCTCAATAATATCTGTGTTACCACTTATATTTAAAACAGAAAGATTGTTAAGCTCATAAATGTTCTGTGGTATTTCTTTTAATTTGTTATTGCTAACATCCAACATGCTAACATTGGGGAACAGTAGATACAGTTTCGAGCTAGAATAAGTAACTTTCATATCAGTGTCTGTATTCTCTTCTTCTAAACTTGGCATTTCTCCGTCATCGACTGAAGTCAATTGAATCCTATTTAATAAATTGTTGGCAAGAATCAATGTTCTTAAATTCTCTAATCTCAAGTGGCGTCTGTGTGTGCAAACAGACATTAAAACTACATCGCGTAAAGATGTTGCTGTTTGCCGGTTACTACCTGGAACTTTTGGTGATTGTACATTTGTGATAGGACAATAACATGCGGTGTTTGCTTGTTCCATTATATCGGCACTATCTACTTGTGGTAAACTAGGCCACCGAGAAATCTGATTGTTGGACAAGTCTAATTGTTTTAAACTTGCAGGATATGAAGTAATGTGGCTCATAGATCTCAGAGAATTATAAGCCATATTCAATCTTACTAAATTAATAGCCAAACACGGCAACGCCACCGGAATGCTATTAAACAAATTGTGAGCTAAATTTAGAGATGCCAAAGCTGATCTTGCTCCACCTTCATTGTCGTCTGAAATTTTTTCTGAAACTTGAACTGATCCAGTCCAAACATGTGGACGATTCATATCGATAATTTGAGCATTTGCTATCTTAGTAAAAGATTCAAATTCTAATGATTCTTCCCGTGACATACCAAGCTGTGATGCTAAGCTACGACTACTTGGACTATTATTCAGAATATCTTCTCGTTGTGATTTTCGTGGTATGTTTTGAAATATTTGACTAGGCAAATCTTTCAATAAATTGAACGATGCATTTAGTTCCTTCAATTTCGGTGCTCGCCATAAATTGTCTGGTAGACATTGAAGCTTATTATTTGAAACATCCATAATTTCTAAGGTGGGTAAATTCATTATAAATTCAGGTAACTGCTCCAGACGATTGTCTTGAAGGTACAACTCCTCCAAAACTGGACATAATTTGTCCTTTAGACTTTTTGAATCAGCAGTCAGAGTATCTATTTTATTTTGGGCCATATTGAGGTATCTGAGACTTTGTAAATAAAATATTGTCGATGGTACAGACGTAATAGAATTAAGAGAAATATCTATCCTTGTAATAGCATATAGGACCAGATCGTTATTCTTAGCATTCAATTTCTTATTAACATACAACACAGCATCAATTAGCCATTGCGATCTTATTTGCGAAAGGTGACATTTTTGATTATGCCAGTTTATCATTGTCGGAGTATTTGGAAATAATGCCGAATATGTAACGTTTCCAAAGGAAGATAACGCTGAAAAATGCGAAGTCTGAGTACACTCAGTCATAGCCTTCTTGTTGATTTTATATTCAGAATCTGGATAGGCCTTTATAGATAAAAGTTTAGCTGTTAGTGGTTCATCTCGATTTTGTGCGGCAATTTTAATTGCTTTGCAAGTATTATCTACAGCACCATGTTTCAATAAGAGATCTGCAGTTTTTATGTCACGCTGCTCGCAAGCAATAACTAATGCACTAGAGTTATTACTTTCTGGATCGCTTTGATCATAAGGAATTTTTAAAGGTAAATTAGGATCAGCACCTGCTAATAACAATACCGTAACAACTTCTGTATGCTTACCTTTCACGGCAGCATGTAAAGCAGTTTCATTTCCATTGTTGCAATATAAATCTAGATTTAATGGGCATATCATATTGTCATCTTTTTTATCAAATGCTTTACTTCGAAAATTTAAACTAGACATTAACCTCTGAATTCCAGTTGAAATTTTTCTTTTCGACATAGGTAGCGACTGAGCAACTCCCACATCTTCGTTTTTAATTTTCCTTGCTTTTACTTTATAATTTAATAATAATTCTATGATTTTTATATTTCCAAGTATACTAGATATATAAAGGACATTCTGCCCTGTAACATCTTGGCTATTAATATCAAATGGCATTTCATATTCAAATTCTCCTGATGAATCTTTGTAACATTGATACGTGTCTTGTGGATATTCAAATTTTAGTAGTGTGTCAATAACTAGATAATGACCGTTTATAGCTGCTGCATGAATGGGTAACCATTTTTCCACTGTTAAAGATTGTACCTGTTTAGGATGGTGTCGAAGGAGCAGGTCTACAATTTCAACCCTGCCATTATAACATGCTATGTATAAAGGACAATACTTGGTGACAGGATGTACTCTACAATCTGCCCCATGGTCTAGAAGTAAATGTACTATATCCTTGTGGCCCATTTCACATGCCATAAAAAGTAACGTATTAGCACCATTTGGTGCCATGTTAATAATGTATTCCGCATCAGTAACGAGCCCTTGAATAATATTCCTAGCTGCTACTGTGTCTCCCTGAATACAAGTTGCACGCAAAGAAACATGCATTGCCAGTTTTGCCAATTCATATTTTTCTGCTGCTGATTTAAGTAAATTTATACAAACATCTCGTTTATTTTGTTCAACTATGTCAATTGGTTTCTCACCATTATTATCAGTAATCATTAAATCAGCATTGAACTCCAAAAGTTTTTCAATATTAGAACCATGACCATGTTCTGCACAAATATGTAGTGGTGTTCGATAGTGACCTCTTGGTCCACATGGTATATTTGGATTAGCACCAGCAGATAATAATACATGCAAACATCTTGAGTTTTCTGTAATTGCTGCAGCATGTAATGGTGTTCTACCCCATGAATCTTGACTGTTTATGTATTGTGCATGCTCTCCTTGCAACAGATCTTGTAACAGTTCTGCATTATCCCACAGAGCAGCTTGATGTAATAGACGTCCAGGAAAATCTTCATCAATAGGAGTATAATCCTCCATGTTATAAACTGCAAATTGTTTACAATGTACTTTTCCATTTTCTTTGCTGAGTTCTAACTCTAGAAGTTTGAACATACATGTGTGTGCATGTGTGCGTATATATATTTATCTATTACTTACGATTTGTATTTATAAATTCTTTTGTTTTCTAATTACATGTTCACATAATCGATGCAGTCTTCTTTTATGGTATGTTGCATACGATTTTTTATTCTGCATTTGATAAAAATCGAACAATTGATGTTCATTACAAAATATGTAATAGAGTTTAAATCTATTTATGAATCTGCACATATCCACTCTATCTAAAGTAAAAGTATCGAAGATAGTTTATAAACGTTTGTAAGATTTTCATAGTTTACTTGCACGAAAAGTATTTGACAGTGTAAATTTACATTCTACATTGTTTCCAAGAATTAATATCTTAATAGAAACAAAGCAATGATAGCGATGAATATTATCACTACTGTTTGTTGGTTTAATTTTTTTACATACATGTATGCATAGAAACTTGTGTACACGTCAAAGTGTATATTAATTGCACTACAGTTTCAATTTTAATTGTTGGAAAGATTACGATTAATTGATTTCGAAACGATTCCTGTTACTCACATTGGTTATGAAACATTTTTCATATTTTTTAAACTTGTTCGTGCATTGATAGGGTAGTGGCATAATTGTCACACTGATTTTTAAAATGAAACACCAATCCACCACACGCAAAACACTTCACGATCGCCATTTTGTTAGATCATTTTATCGAATGTACGCAGTTTTAGCACCATGGACATAGGAATAAACTAACGGAGCGTAAGCTGAGCTAGGCAGAGTGACAGGCGTGACAGGCGTGACAGTGAAGCTTGGTGAAGCCAGACCTGAACCATAGACATATATAATAGACTGCGCGGTCTTATGGTAGGATTGAAGTTGGCCTAGAAAGAGAGAACAATAACTGGAGTTAGTTTCTTCCCTTTCTAATAGGGTTGTTGGTGGGGAATTCTCCTACTGAATTGTACTGGATGATCCAGTAATACTGGACCGCTGGATCCAGCGGCTGGACCATATACATCGTGATACATCGTCGGATCAGTGCTCGTATTAGCTCGTATTGGTTGAGCTGGGTGGGGTGTATTGTGTGGCTGTTATATTGCGCTAGAACCGTATTTATGGTATTTAAGAAAGAAAAAAAATGAACATGGTCAGCAGAAATTATCTCAGAATCTTTCAGAATAACATAGCACAACAAAATCACTTTTCAATTCTTAGTAGAGTGTTTGCTTATAAGAGCGCTTTTTCGTTAGAGAAGCTCTATCCTACAAGTAACCTAAAACTTTACACACCAACTTACGTAAGTTTCGGATTCTTCATTTCACACAAAAATTATATTAATTATATTAAAAATAATTATTTTTCTTATTCAGCCATTAATACTGTAATACATAAGAGACATAATATATAATAGTAATAATAAACCGTAATGTACATACTTAGTAACTGTAAACAACTAAAAAGTAATGAAACATATAATAGTAATAGTTCTGCTATAAATGTTTATGCATTTATGGCATGTCCGAACTTGCAGTAAACTAATGTTTTTAATAAGGTTTAATGATATTTATATGTATTGTTACTGAAGTACAACCTTTTGTATGAGAAATAAATCAGTATTTAGAACTATGAATTTGTGTGAATATTCATAGTTTACTAATACTGGTAAATACCATTTACATTGTTGCATCTTTTTAGGTTCCTGAAGATGAAACTGTAAAATTTAATGGTTTCATACCAATTAATGAGCTACAAATAACTTACAGTCGTAGCAGTGGTGCTGGAGGTCAACATGTCAATCGTACAAACAGTAAAGTGGACCTTAGATTTCAAGTAGAAAGCGCTAAATGGTTATCGGAGGAAGTTAAGCAAAAGTTAATGGAACAGGTTTGTAATAGTTTTACTTTACCTGTATCTCTTTCTTCTCTTTTTACCTCTTTCATATGGCTATGTATATCTATTATTGTATTATGTGTATTCAAATATATAAATTATGATGAAAAAGAAGTACTTAATTCAAAGTCATAATGATTTTATTTTAGTTTTAACTTAATAAACTTCTTAACTATTAAACTAAATTTTACTCAGATACTGTTCATTGTAAAATGACCTCTGAAAATGAGAATTGACATAAACATCTGTAATTTATATATTAATTTAAACCAAAAGCTGCACTAACCCATTCAAAGTAATACATTATGGTAACTTGAATTGTACTTGAGTTGTTAAGTATAATTTGTACATAATCATCTATAAATATTTAAATTATATTTTTATATATGAACATTTATTACAGTACAAGAACAAATTGAATAAGGATGGTTACTTCATAATTAAGTCAGAATTAACAAGGTCTCAGCAACTAAATCTAGCTGACGCTCTACAGAAGTTAAGGACAGCAATCAGGGATGCCATAAAGCCTACTGCAGAGGTATCTGAGGAGACTGCAGAATTGAAGAGAAAGCAACTGCTAAGAAGTGCGAGGAAAAGACTGCATGATAAACGAATGCATTCTGACATAAAGAGTAGTAGAAATCCTAGTACAATAGATTTCTAAATTCTGGGCTAAAAATTTCCTTACATTTGTATTGTGTACAATTATCAAAAGTTGAGTATAGTAAAATGTTTAATAAAGTCAAATACAGATTTTTATTTGATATAGGTAGAACCTGATAAAACATTTGTTTCATTCCAGTGTCTGTGCATTAATCGTTATAAATGCCTGTGATTTACTAATTGTTTTTATGTTATTGTATTATATACATTTTATGAAGTGATATTGAAATAAATATTGTATACTCTAAAAAAATAGATGCATTAAAGTTTTAATTATATTTGAGGTAATGATAATTATTTCAATAATAGTAAGGATATCTTAATTATACACTTGTATAGAGACAATAATACTGAAATAAATGATAAAGAAACGACGAAGTTATCATTAAAGATGGCGTGAACTGCTACTTGTGAATCACTCGTGATTCGATCACGTTCGTTCCCAATCACGATGATATTTCACAGTGATTCGTGATTTCTCGTGATCGTTTCTGATTGGTGGAGGAACCTAACAGTTCTTTACACACGACACATAATCTGTATATTTTATATTAACGACATCAAAACAAAAATTCGAGTTATATCGTATAAAGTGAAGGAATAATTAGAAACAATGAAGAATAATGAATAAGTTAATGATTATAAATTATAATCTACATGTTACCTAGCAAATCATTCTTTTAGAATTTCTTGTTTTTTCTACTGATTTTTACAAACACAAATAGTAATGTAAATCATATTGAATACGTTTTTCTGTTTAAAGATCAAGGACTTACGACCGCAGTGAGAAAATTCACTCAAGATAAAAAAATCGCAATCACGGTCGTAAATGAAGTTAAATCACTGTTAGTGATTTTGCACTCCATCTCTAGTGGTAACACTACTCGTCCCGGTGTAGGAACGCTTTCACACAAATGCTACTTTTTCATCCCTGGTTAGTAGGACGAGTTTCCTTGGCAACATGAATGAAAACAATGACCACCATTGAGGGAGAAGCAGTTGTTTACAAGTGATACCTTTTTTACTCAAGAATGTCGTTTCGGGACTTAAGAAGTATATAAACTACATTTTTCATTGTAAACTCTGAAAAGTTTATGATTAGACTGCAAATTTCATGCATTTGTATTTTAAAGTTCAGTAGAGTAAAATTTATAATAAAGTTTAATAAGCTCTTCATTTTCTTTCAAGATTGAGCAATTAAACGTTTTTTTTAGTCTAATCTATCAATTGAACCATAAAAATCTATATTTGCATAAACATTGACAGTCTAGTCAGAGTGACCGTATGTATACAGTGTATCTGTTTTAACTGCTTATGATGAAAATCTTGTTAGAGAATTGATGTTATTAAAATATTGTGCATATAAAGGTGTTTAGTATGAAGGGGGCAATAAGTTGGAGAGATTTCAAAGCTGCCATAATTCTTTTAAATAGAATTTTATAAATAAATTGACTTTTATTTATACTATGATAGTGTTTCGTAAGATGAATTCAACGATGTACAACACTAATATAATTGTAAATTATGTGGCCACATACTTTGAGTCAGCAGAATCTTATTTGACTATGTTGCTGATTTCAATAAGACAAATAACATTAAAAAATAATCTTCTTGAGGATGCTACTAAATGTTAAGTTTTGCTATAATCTTAGCAAACATATTTGCACATATTTGTTTTTATTACAAGCCACTGTATTTGAGGCATAACTTGTGGTTTCAACGTGTTGATACTTCTGCTCACTATACTGTGTCAATATGGAACTGGTTAAATGACAATTGTAACAAGCGGGTTAAACATAGTGCACCATGATCTCGAAAATCACCAAATTTCAGAGCATGTGACATTTTTCTTTGGGGTCACTTCCAACATGTTGGTTTCAAAAACATCTGGTAAAATATTAATCACAAATGGCTACAACTGTATATGTGGAAATAACAGTGAAAATGATAAGAAATTTTAAAGCAGAATTTGTAAGATATCAGATAGAACCTATTTATCATGAAGAACATGCTGAAGGGATATCCAAGTAGGGAACTATTGAACAATTTCAAATATATAAATATATTGGCAAGTGAAATCTCTTGCAACATAGCCTGTGTCAAATCAGGGGCAAAAATGTTGCTGCCAATGTGCGCGTAAGTTGTTTATTGCAAATCTTGCATCAAACTTGTAACCATAACTTTATAACAGGCATTGAACAAAATTTGGCTTTGCAGCTTTGGCTGACTGGGTACATACATCATACATACATACATATAGTGGCCCAAAAAAGTGTTCGTACACAAGAATGAATTTTGTTCAACTTAATTTTATTGACAATCTAATAGTGTTTTTGTCAAATTTAATTATCCATAATTAAAGTACAGTTTGTAATCGTCGAAATTATGATGACGATATTTGTACCACATAATAAATATCCTTCAATTACGCAAAAAGAAATTATTTTACAAACCTGTCCTATTTTGAAGATTAAGACCTGTACTTTAAATAGTGTAATTAAATTTCATAAAAATACTATTAAAATGTCAATAAAATCGAGTTGAACAAAATTCATTCTCGTGTACGAACACTTTTGTGGGTCACTGTAAGTACATAATATTAATTTAGGATTATATACAATAAAATAACACATTTTCTTTCCTGTAGATTTCACGGAGATGATGCGTGTGCTCGGTTATCCGAGACTGATATCCATTGGAAATTTTCGCTTGCCAAATTTTCCGCTGGTTGCGGAAATTCTCGTTTGGTTGGTCAAAATGTTTGATCCAGACGCGGACGTGCCCAGCGAACATAACACCGAGGAAGAACGTATCGCGTTGATACGTATCGTTGCTGAATTTATGGTATACATTAGATTGCGGATTTTTTGCATTTATAGAGTACACAATTGTTTAACATTCAGTCTAATACTAACAAGGGACATTTATCACTGAGGTAGAGCTCTGAAAAACATTCAACAAGTGTGTCTTTCCCAGGCGTGTGCGGACAGAATTGCCAGAGGTAGCCTGGAGTAGCCACCAGGCTACCAGAGATACTAGACAGAGTTGGGCATGATTCATTGAAAATTTCTAGTTTGATTGATTGATTGATTCTTACGATTAAACTTTATCTTTTTTCTGAAATCAAAATAGTTTAACTATCGCTGCATGAAATAATAATATGTTTTACCATAGGCAGTGAAACCAAATGTCAAGTTAAATACAAAAAAAATATACCAGGCGGACGGCTACGCTGTAAAAGAGTTATTAAAAATAACAACATTATTGTACGACGCTCAGATTAATAGTAACAATAATAACAAAATAACTTCAGATGATAATTTCAATGTAGCAAGTTTTGATATATCTGGTAAAATAAACGAATTAAGAACGACTAGACAATTAGTCAGGCAATTGACTGTCACCGGTGCGTCGCTGTTTGATTTATTAGGGCGCGAAGTTGATCTACGAGAAATTCGTAATTTGAAAGTGGCTAGAGAATTCGACACCTCCGAAATTGAAACAGCGTTAAAAAATGTTATTGAAAGTATGCAGACAGAAATCGCTGATACCAAGAAGCAAATTGACAATGTTAAGGTATAATGTATTGGTGTTTCCTTCAGTGTAAATGTGTACTTAAGTGTTTCATTTGTATAAAGAAAGTGATTGATAATACCAATAAGTAAATTTATAATGATAAAATACAACCTGGTTTTTATTTTATTTCTAAACATGTATCTTTATACGTGAAGGATACAGAGCAGAATTTAGATGTAAGGATAGAAAGAAGACGTATAGAGCTTGATAGAAACCAGAAAAGACTGCAGACATTGAAAAAAGTTCGTCCAGCGTTCATGAAAGAGTTTGATAAGCTTGAAGTCGAACTGAGATCATTGTACGAAGATTATTTGCAAAAATTTCGCTATCTTGCCTTTCTTGAGCATTTGTACGAAGATTCTGCCAAAGTAGAACAAGAAAGATTTGAAAGGCGGTGAGTAGAATAAGTGTAACATTCTTTGAGGATCAAAAACAAATGATAGTATCTTCAAGAAACTAAAGGACCATTTAATATGTAACTTAAATTTCTTAGACAAGAAGCAACTAGGAAGCAGTTAGAAAAGATGCGAGCAGAAGACGCCAGTTTTGAGAGCATGATGGAAGGAAATGATTCTATATTACCAACGAATCTTCAAGAACCTCCACCTCCACTCAGTGACATGGAGAATACTGAAAGGAGAACTACGAAAAGCCGATTAAAATCAGGTGAACGACACGACAATATCATTATTATTATAAATGTTGTGTTATTCTCACTGACAACAATGCCAATTCTACAACTAAAATGAACAAACTTTTAGTAACTGAATATGAATTTGAAGACGTAAGATATCACAATTTGGCACGATTGTTTATAAATATAAGTCAAAAAATTAATTACCCGTTAATATTTATTTTACCAACTAACAAATTTATTGTACGCAAAATAGCCAGCCGTGCATCGAGAATACAGATATCCCAGCGTCGGATTTATGGTAGCATGTCGGGACGTCAAAAAGGAACGATCCAGGAATCGAACGAGAGTGGTGGTTCACTGGACAGCGATAGCGATTTGTTGATCGACGGCGATCTAGACGACGACGATGACGACGATGACATCTTAGATTCCGTAGGAGGAACGGAAATCGGGAATTTTGATTTGAAGGTTGGACAAGAAAAACGAGCTGTTAGTAAGTTAGATCATTCCGATGAGGATTTTTAATTCTTATAAAAAGATAATTTAAAAAATTACGAAATATACCGTTCATGTAATTATCGATCAATGTACGCATATTTTAAAAATACAACTGTAAATAAATATTAATAAATATACCTATACTTCGTTGTTGCTCGTAATTCATTGCAAATTGTAACGTTAGTATTATATATCCTTTGTCCCTACTGGTCCCTAGTAGGGACTCTCTACTTCATCCCTACCAAAAAACGCGCGTCGATTATATATGCTATGCCACTTGATGCCACTGGATGCCACCCCCTGATTTACGACCTCACGTTACCGATTCACTGACTATATGTGACATGGGACTGTTATATCTAGGTTTCCCCGGGTTTTCTTGGTCATTTTGCAGCGCCATAGGTGACAAGGATCAGTACTAAAACGAGTGCCGGAAATCCGGAACACGTTTGAATTTCGGAACGATTTATAATAGATAAGCACCACCGACTAGGTAGTCGGTGTAAGCACTGACTGTATGAGATCGTGTATGATAAATTTGATATTAGTTGTTCGCAATTTTCAATATGTTTATTAAATTGATTACATAATATACATATAATATGTAATAAATTTAATAAACATGTTTAAAACTGCAAACAACTAATATCAAACTTATTAGAACACAAATTTATCACACACGATCCCATACAGTAGTCGCCATTCATCACGTTCAAAATTTTAGATAATATACATACAGTATGTAATAAATGTAATGAACGCGTTTAAAACTGCGAACAACTAATATCAAATTTATTATAAGACAAATGTATCACACACGATCCCATACAAAATGCTGCAAAGCTAACATCCAAAATACCGAAATGACTTTCCCCTGCTTTCCCCGGCCGGCTACATAGCATTACATAGAAGTATACGTTATGTTTGGAACCACAGATCAGTGGTTGGAAGTTCCAACTTGGAACATGTCGAAGAGTGCGACACTAGCGCCATTAGTGACGAGGATCGGTAGCTTATGACTGACCATACGATTTTAATACGAGTTAACAGGCCCTGCTTACGTCTGCTAAAATACAGAATGTCGGTAGCCTGATAAATAAGAGAAGCCGCTATGCATACATAATAAATTGTGGAACGCACCTTTTTTCAAGCTCATACGCGCAGGCACGAAAATAAACGGCGTTGTGGGTTGCGCGCGCATCATGGATCGACCAATCAAAGAGTTATGTGCTATCGTGTGTGAACTGTAATCTAAGTGATTTTCTATCGTTTCCATATAGAAATTTCAGTGTCGATGCGCGTTATTATTTTTCGGTGACTTTTTACGGTTTTCCGTGTGTGAGGAAGTGGCTATGAACGCGATAGAGATGGAACAATGAAGCAGACGACTGAGGTCAACGACGGTTGTCAAGAAGATGCCGGTGAACCTCTCGAACATGGGAAATGCGTGCTTGTTGGAGACTATCGCGTTGTAATCGTGAGTTGTTCCCAAATTTGATTTGCTTATAAACATCGTTATTTAATGAGACTAATAATCGAAACCAATCAGGGTGACAAGAAACTAAGATTACAGGGTATACAAAATGTAACCTTGACTTCATTAGCCCTTGTGTGGGCAACCAAAATATTTACGGTTGATGAGCAATCTGAGTACTCCTATTCGGACAGATTAAATAAACATAGATAATTTACTTTCATACTTTTCCGAAACTCTTAGTTTTCCCTTTCTACAATATACCAAGTGCTGTTTTAAACAAAAACGTAAAAAATTATGAAAGGAAATTTATGAATGGGTACCTGGATACTTGGGTACCTGGTTGCCTACAGAAGGGTTAAGATTTGACAACTATTTAACTAACCAGAAGTACGTATAGATGATTATCAGAAGAATCTTTCACTCATCCCTATACAGGGTTTCTTAGCTAACTCGATCGCCTTGAATAATGACTTAACGGTACACTTTCTGAAAATTTTGAGGCGTGTAACTTAAATGGCATCAAGTACCTTATGAGGTACATGCTTTTTTTGTGGATGGAGGCATTTCAGAGATTTCAAGGTCATCTTGATTCTTTTTAATGGAGTGACCTGTTTTTTGTACCATAGATCGATAGAATATCAAATTCTGAGTAACAATGTGATAACCTTCATACGCCCTGAACCTAATAATTAACAAGATATTTAAAAAATAATTTTTAATATGTACTTATCAGAAAGCTATAGGTGCTCGGACTTATGCTCCTTAATTTCAATACAGCGATTATTATTACTTAGTAAATGTATATAATTATTTTACACTAAATTATTCTATACAAGTCTACATTATTATATTACTTCTACACTATTATGAGGTTCTGTTTCATTCAACGTTGGCTTCTACACACTAACTTTTGCTTTTTAATCTCACGTTCCTACCCATTCATTCCGCTTCTCTTTCATACTCTTAAAAATAACATTAATCTTGTACTCAAACCTAAATGAAAACGTATTTTGGCCATACCTGCAACGCAGGTTACAAGTGAACGTTTATTTTCTACATCTGGAAATATAGTCACAGCTACGAGAAGCAGAGTATTATCAGGAAATGTGGAACAATTATGTTTCTTACATAGTAATCTAACATAAATGCATTGAAAACATATCCATACCTATTTTTGTATATCTTTATTTGTACCAAACATCCAATGTATTGATGCCTGTACATGTAATTAGTACTGCGATATTAAAAAAAGAGAAATATTAATCTATTAATAGAAAGCATTTTCAAATTCTAGTAAAGTAAAGAATTGAAGTCGTATGTATTCCATATAAAGTAATGATTATATCGAGGGAAGTTTAATTTGAATAAATAAATGTGTTACAAATATTATTTTGTCTTGTGAAAATCATAAAGATTTTGCATATGCTTGCCGAGTAATTAATTGTGTAAGAGAAGAGTACATACGTGATCCGGATCGAATCTTGAGTATCGGAATATTAGCTACACACTGCAATTCGTAGTCAACGTTACCGCGGGAACTCGGCTGGCAGACTCGCGCTCTGATTGGTCGGGGTTTTTCGTTAATATCTCGTTAACAAAGCCTCGGATAACATTTTTGCTAAGGAAAAACTTGTTTCAAATCACCTCACGAGTCTCCCATTTGCAGGTCCTTCAACATTTTTGATACACCTTATGTACTCTGACGAAATTGCAATATGTTGTCATTGCCAGGGAATATCACATCTTACTGTCCGGGTTCTTGTCGTTTATACGTACATTAATGCTTCTCAATGTAAGGACACATCACTCACTGTGGGTTCTTCTTTGTTTCTTACAGAGCCTCTCGAGGATGGGTTCCCGACGGGCCGGGTCGAACGGGGGTCGTTCAAACGCTGGCGTTTCAAAGGAACGCGCCAACATGTCTTTCATGTTGGTGGTGATGTTCTTTGCGGTGTTTGGGCTGATCGTCCTCACGGAGATATTCCTGATCGACGAGAGACGTGGTGTAGGTGTAGGGGGCACGGGAACTCTAGGAGGTCACAGGAGCGGGCATCGATTGCCTGCTGCGCCCGATCGGCCCGATTATGGAGAAATAGGAGTAAGCATCGCGGTTTAGATCAATCTGTATTCCCTTAATTAATACGTTGACTGATTGCGTATTTTAATATTGCATCTGCAAATCATATTTATGTGTAATATATAATTGGTATGTATATTGTTTTTTACTAGTATATTTTCGTCCCTGCTATACATACATTATATTGCATAAACAGATGCATAAATTTTATTACTAATAAGCGAATAAATAAGTTTCTAAGTCTCAGTTGTTAAGAATCCGAACACCGTCAGAAATACAATGGCCTGTATTAATATTCAGACACCATGATATTGGGCTGTCCCATAAGTCCTTGCTATTTTCTACCAGTTTTATTATTAATTCGAATTTATGAAAATTTCATTTTTATTTTACGATATAATCACCATCATTCTCAATAACATTCAGCCATCTACTTGGCAAGTATCGAATGCCTTTCTCCCAGAAAGATCAGGGCTGGACCCGGCAAGGACTTAAGCCGAGTACTCATCAAGCGAGCGAGCATTCGTCACGAGCAAGCGAACACGTCTTTCTTTTGATGTATTGCCACGAATCGGATCATTCAGTGGTACACACCAAACGAGCACTGAGTGAGAATGCTCGCTCGCTCCTGTTCGCTCGTGCTCGCTCGCTTGGTGAGTACGCGGCTGTGTAGGACAGCCCAATGCCACTTGAGAAGTTATTGCTGCATATCCATATTATTTATAAGATTAATGAAGTCATTGTTCTTTTAATAAGTTAAAACATTTATTTCATTTGTTAGAAACATAACATTCATTTATTTAATTTATACACTTTTCTTGTTAATAAAAGGTAGACGAAATAATGCCTACTTTTGACGTTGCAAATATCTTCCAACACTCGACGAAGCGTAATGTTTTTATTTAGAATACACATAAGTTTTAACAAATATAATTCAATTTTAACCCTTTGCACTCCGCACGATTTTGGACGTTGGCTATCAGCTACTCAGCGCCACTTTACAGCAGAAACAAACATTTACAAACCCTCGTATAACTTATTATAATTTTAGAACTAAGTAACGTATTATAATGATATTGGACTGATATCAATTGGCTGAGATCGAGGAATGTTTATTTGTAAAAAAATCAATATTTTATTGTTTATAATTTTGCAGAGTATGATAAATTTTAAAACACTCCCCAATATGCATTGCGGGCTGGTTGGTGCATGTTTGACAATAATAATTTGTTTGTCGCCTGCCACCAGATGTTTTCCTGTTAGAACATACTATACAGTCTCGTTTTCTTCGTCCCACATCTGGAATATGTAATTTATTATCTAATCTATTGTCCGCAGAAGGTGTGGATGGGCGCGTTCTTGACACACGAAAATCGCCCCTCAATTGGTCAATTAGTGTTTTGACAAACTTGTGGTGTGTCATTGGCGTTTCATTAGTTGTTTGTTTTGAGATGCGATATATGATGTATGAGTTTATCACACACATTTCCAACCCCCAAAAAAATAGTTTTCTCCACCATTTCAACGATTTACGGAGGAAACAATACGTCGAAGCGTATTGATCCGCACGATCCACACCACCCATATTTTCCTCCAGATTTAGACTTGTTTATTTATAAATATAAATCACACTATACAGTGCGTGCTATGTTCGCATACCGACCTTTCTTCTACAAGCTCCCCTTATCGCTCTTTTCAAGTGGTTTCGAGAAGTGCTCGGACCGTCGTGAGCACGCGTCTCATATTCTTGTCTAACACAAAACCCGCCGCCATTTCTTGTATATATCTGTTAGTAATCTTACGATATTATGATGCGATTTCTTGTGCCATTTCAAGAGAAAACTTCAGGGAAACATGCATGTCTCGAAAAGTTGCGCGGAAATACCTCAATTCGCCGTAATCACTAATAAACTTGAATGTCCCCTGAGAGGGGACATCCGAGTGATATGCTAGAATTACGATGTCCCCTGAGAGGGGACAGCGGAGTGCAAAGGGTTAATATTTTTGTTGTAACTAATTTCGAATTGTCCGCTGAGAGAATGACACATGTGAAGGATGAATATGAAGTCTGATGCGAATAACTGAGGGAGAAGAGAGTGTGAGTGTCGTTATGCGAGAAGATCACGTGGTATGGCGGCATTGTGAAAAATAGTTGAAGTGTTAGTGTTTGAAAGTAAAAACAGAAAAAGAGTTCTTGAGTTTCATTTTATGCAGTTTGTATAGGTAGTTATTTTTTTTCAATCCAGTTTACATTCTGTATTTTAGTTCTTATTTTAATAATAAAAACATGCAGGGGTACCAAAAAAGTTCAGCAATTTTGTTGGATTATCGTTTTGTTTAATTACACGATTTAAATGTTCGGGCTAGGAGTAATTTTATTTAAATATTCTAACGGAATACGTAATTATTCTTCAGTCAATTGAAATTTCAATTCTTCTTTCAACTTTATAGGTGATGTTCTGATTTGACGATCTAAGTAATTCCATAAATTTTCCACTGGATTTAAATCGAGTGACAGTGGAGAGAGGTGCAATACATATGGACAATTATATAGTAAATATTTTCGGACTGTACGTGATTTATGTGTTGGATCATTATTCTGACAAAATTCGAATCTGTTACAAATGTTCATATCAATAGCAGTTCCTATTAGATTTTGATCCAGTATATCTATTTTTATCTATAATCCCATCAGTGAAAGCTAATTCGTTCATTCCTGCAGCCGAAACACAATCCCAAACTATCATACTTTCTTCACCGTGTTTTGCAGTTGGTCTAGAGTTTTATTGGTTTCAAGCCATATTAGTTTTTATTCATAGGACCCAAAAATAATTAATTTACTCTCATCTGCAACAATTATATTTCTCCATCATATTTTTTCTTTAGAAATGTATTATTTGGTAGAGTAATCTTACCCATGGTTTTTGTTCGGGAAACTCTATAACGTTGTATCCACTTACGTACGGGATGTGTAAATTTTGAAATCAAACTGATTCTACGAGATAGAGTGTTAGTGATCGACGCTTAAATAGGGTTAAAATATGGTTTTGTTCGATAAGTCGAAAGCCAGCGGTTTGGCGACATTGTATTTACATGTTTTTTTCTGTAAAAGGAGCTGAGTGGACAACGCGTCAAGAATTTCAAATGACAACGTTCGGGAGGTTGTAGCCCGTGTCAGCTGTAGGTGTCCTACGTGCGTGCGTGTGTGAGTGGCTCACTGAGTGCATCGTTTTGATCGACAGCTGACGCATACACAGACACACAGACACACACACAGAGTGAGGAGAAGAAAGAAGAGCGGAGCGAGAAGACAATAGCCACATCGAGTAATAAAAAAAGGAAGCAAAGTGACAGGGGATCAGTAGATAAGGAAGAGAATAGAAAAGAAGAGTAAAGAAGAGAAGGATGGAATAGAGAATGATGAAATAGAATGAAGGGGAGGCGAAGGAGAAAAGGGAAAAGAAGAAGAGATGGATAAAAAGAGAGATAAGGAAACGAACATAGTAAGTTTAACTAGAGTGATGGGCGCAAGTGGAGGAAGCATGAGGGAAATTAGAAGAAGTTAGAAGAGATTTAAAAGAAGTCAAGGGAGAGGGGTGAGAGAGGATATAGGGAAACTAAGAGAGGAAATGAAAGAATGGGAGGAAAAATGGGAAAAAGGATGATAAGGATGGAGGGAAGACTGAAAGAAGTAGGGATAAGGGAGAAAATGATAATAGAGGTGGAAGAAAGAATAAAGAGCATAGAAATATGGAGAAGAAAGGAGGAGGAGGGCAGCAGGGAGAAAAGGAAAAAAGAAGGAGGTAAAAATGACGAAGAATGGCAAGTAAGGTTGAATGAGATAGAGAAGAAGTTAGAAATGAAAGAGTGAGAAGAGAAAAGAAAGAATATTATAATATCAGGGATAACCAAGGATGGAACGTCAAGACAAAGGGCAGAAGACGTGCTGAAAATAATGGGAATACAGGGGAAAATGAAAGGAGTATGACGACAAGATAGAAAGGAGGGAATAATAGAGCATGGAGTGTAGAAATAAAAAGGGAGTTGATGAGAAACAAAAGAAATCTAAAAGGGAGAAAAGAAAGTATAGAAGACATGACATGGAAATAAAGAATGATGCAATGCAAATTAAGGAGGACAGGAGAAGAGGAGGAAAGAACAAGGATATATTATGGGAAAATAATAATATATGGGATAACATGGTTTTGGGACAAGCAGAGAGAGAGGCTTAGAGACTGGAAAGGGAGGGAAAAAGCAGAGAAGGAGGAAGTGAGGGAAGAGAGAAAAGAGGAAGAAAAAAAGTGACGTGTTTAGTAGAGAGAAGGAGCCAAGAAAAAAAGGGGGACAAAAAACTGAACAGAGAAAAGGAGAAAGAAAAAAGGGCAGGAGAACGAAGGAAAGAATTGGAGAATCGCGTTTTGGAATGTAGCAGGCATGATAAATAAACATAAGGAGTTTTGAAAGGAGATAGGAGAATGGAGGGCAATAATGTTAATGGAGACATGGATACAAGAAAAAGGATGGGACAAAATAAAAAACAGGCTGCCAAAAGGGTATAGGTGGAGGACACAGTGGGCAAAGAAAGGGAAGAGCGATGGGAGGCATGAAATGGTAGAGGGAGGATAATGAAGCAGAGAGGAGAAGGTATAATGACAGAAACAGTAAAAGCGGGAAAGGAGAATGGAGTAATAGTGGAACGATAGTTACGGTCTACGTAAACGGAGATATGGAGAAAAAGCTGAAATTAAAGGATGGTTGGAGGTGAAGAATATTGGTGAAAGAGTAATAATAGGAGATTTTAACGCAAGGACGGGCACACAGGGTGGTAGGACAGAGGGTAGAGAGGAGGAAGAAACTTAAAAGATAAGATAAATGGAGATAGTAAAAAACCAGTGAAAATAGTAGAAGAAATGGGATGGGAAATTCTGAACGGGAACATACGAGATGAGGAAGGCGAATATACGTATACGGAAGAAAGGATGGTAGTGGAAAATAAAATAGTCACCCGCTGGTAGTAACAATGAAGGAAGTAGAGGTGGAAAAGTGGGTAGAGAACGATGGTTGGAAAGAATGAAAGGGGAATGGAAGGAGCAAACGTAGAGGGGGAAGAGAGTAAACAAAATGAAAGAGAGAATAAAGGAGGAATTGAAGAGAGGGGAGGAAGAGAAAGGAAGGATGGTGGGACGGAGAATGTAGAAATGAAAGGAAGGAAGTAAGAAAATGGAAAAGCAACGAAGGAAAAAAGAGGGGTATAACGAAAAGAAGAGAGAATATAGTGAACTGTGTGAAAAAAAAAGGAGGAAGAGGGAGAATGGATGATAAGGAAAGTGGCAGAAGCAAGATTGGAAGACAAAGTATGGGAGATTGTGAAAGAGGAGAAAGAGAGGAAAGAGGATCGAAGAAAGAATAAAGAAAGAAGAGTAGAAGGAGCATTTTATGGGGCTGTTAGGAGGAGTGGAAAACAGGGTACGAGTAGAGGAAGACAGAAAGAAAGGCGAAGAAGAAATAAGAAGGGTACTGAGGAAATTGTAGGAAGGGAAGACGATGGGAGGAGACGAAATTTTAAATGAAGCCTGGAAGTATGGGGGAGAAAATATGACAAAAATTGCATGGAGAGTATGTGGAAAAGTATGGGAAGTCGGAAGATTACAGAGGAGTAACGTCGATGCCGTCTCTATACAAAGTATACACCAAAATCTTGTCACAAAGGCTGGAAAGGTAAGTAGAAGAGAAGGAGATGATTGCACCGAACCAAACAGGGTTTAGAAAAGGAATAGGAAAAATAGACAAAATTTTTGTGTTGAACTACGTGGCTAACAAAATGACCAGGAAAGATAAAGGGAAATTGGTGGCATTATTTGTGGACCTGAAGACGGCCTTCGATACGGTAGACAGGAAGGTGCTATGGGAGATGATGGAAAGAAGAGGAGTGAGGAAAGCATTAAGAGAGAGAGAATAAAGGAGATATACAAGGAAACGATAAGCAGGGTGAAGGTCCGGGATGAGGTAGGAGAGAAGTTCTGGGCAACAAAGGGAGTTCAACAAGGTTGCCCACTAAGTCGAATTCTGTTCAGTCTGCTAGCGGCAGATTTGGAGGAAGAACTAAAGGAAGATTGGGGGGATAGAAGTGAGGAGAGAAAAAATATGCTCACTAGCGTATGCAGATGATGTGGTGATACTGGCGAAGAACGAAGAGGAGATGGAGAGTATGATTAGACGCTTGGAGAAGTATTTTGATAGAAAGAGAATATACAAAAATCGAAAGTAATGGGATTTAGGAAAAGAGCAGGAAGGAAGAAAAGAATGGAATGGAAATAGAAAGGAAAAAAAAGTAGAGGAAGTGAAAGAATTTAAATACCTAGAATACGTATTCAAGAAGCACTAATCAAGGATAGAGTAAAGAAGGTGGGGGTGGTAATGAGACAGGTCTGGGGGATGGGGAAGAGAAAATTCGGGAAAAGTTGGAAGAGGAGAGTATGGCTTTTCGGCACTTTAGTATGGACGGTGTTGGGATACGGAGCGGAAATATGGGGATGGAAGGAAAGGGAGGAGATTGAGAGAACTCAGGAAAATATATCTAAGGTGGACGCTGGGAGTAGATTGGAGAACACCTGGATACATGGTAAGAGAGGAAATAAATAAAGGAAAACTGAGGACGGGGTCCGAAAGAAGAGCATGGAGGTATGAAGAAAAGGAAGCGAATTAGCAAGGATATGTTGGTAAATGGAAAGAGGGGAAGTGGTAGAGATGACCAAATGGAAGAAAGAAAGGGAAGAATTATAGAATGACAGAAGTAGGAGAAATGAAATGAAAAGGCAAGGAGAAAGAGAGGGATATGAAGAAATAGAAAAGGAAGATAGAAGGAAGAAGAGAGAAATAGAAAACTCTCGATACAATAGATGGTACTGGGGGATACGGACCAACGAAATACCGTGATACTTAACAGCAGGATGGAATGAGGAAAGGTACAGAAGAATAGCGAGTTTTAGGTTAGGGAATGAGATGATGGAAGGGAAGTACTGGGCAGAGGAAGAAGAGAGGAGGTGCAGAATATGTGGATGGACACGTATTAGACAGAGGTGTAGAGGAAGAAAACGAGAAAAAAGGAATAGGATATAGAGTAAAAGAAATATTGGACGAAAGAGGAAGGGAGCGGAATGGATGAAGAGATTAGAGAAAAGTAGAAAAGGGAAGGAAAAAAGGGAAACTAAGATAGAAAAAGAGAGAAAGCAGAACGGGAAAATCAAAGGAACAAGAGAGAATTAATGAATGGAATGTGTGTGCGTGCGCGTATGCGAGGAGAGAGAGAGAGAGAGAGAGAGAGAGAGAGAGAGAGAGAGAGA